ATACAAAGACATTTTATTAAAGACACGGTACCTCCATACTGCTTGTACAAAAAAGTTGTTCCGTGAAATTCGCTTGAACAGCTCATAGCCTGACCAAAGCCTGACTGACACAAGACTGTCACATTGGTCTCACGGAGACCAATTTGAAGGAACAACTTTTTGCTCAGGTGGCGTATCTACAACCTGGAACCTACTTAAAATATCATTGTTTTTATATCAGATTTTACTGTTTTGATATTCTTATACTTTGAGATTGTTGACAGTAGCAGCCGTAGCTATGTAACAATTGACAAACGTGAAATTTCCGAATAGGGTCCAGTGAACTTTCTGCAAACTATCTATTTTTAATTACAGTGGCTGAAAATTGGCAGACTTGGGGCAGACCCTGATAGTTCGAATACTTATGGGGTTTCCTCTGAAACATGTCCTTGTTCTACTTACAAGTAGGTATTATGTATTTTGACCTCTATAGTGTAGTCGTCTGAGCCCTCTGTCTGAGTCGTTTTTAAGGGGTTTTCCTAAATGATTGAGTACACTAAAAGTGTATTAGGAACAATCAGTCAAAGTCAAAATAAAAAAGTAAAATCACAAAAGGAAAATAAATGAATTAGGAAAGCTCTCGTCAGTCCAATACACGTGTGGTGCCGCCTTGGAATAGCATCACTCTATATTTTCCCCGTGCGTATCGTAAAAAGCGGCTTAGGGTTTTGGGAGTTGATGTGTATTGCAATTTTAGACGTTAGGCTGTCAACCTCTCACTATGGTGATACACAGTCTTCTAAATGACACTCAAACTTGTCAGACGTGGTGAAAGTGGCCGTTTTTACAGCCATTTACGCACTATCTACCCCGCAAGGGACATAGGCGCGATATAATTAGGTATGTATGTTACATGTGTAGTAAAATAGACTACCGAAGGCGGTCGAACCAGCAGAATATAGGGTGTATTTTTATTAGTGGCGGATGTGTTCTGTCAATGAAACTGAACAACTTTCACCAAGGAACATAGGTCGAAATACAAAAAAAAAATTTGGCCTTCCCATACTAAGTGTGTTGGCCGGCCGGGTCAATTTGTATGGGAGGGCCAAATATTTTTTTCATATTTCGACCTATGTTCCTTGGGGAAAGTTGTTCAGTTTCATTGACAGAACACACCCTTAACGGATCCGCCACTAATAAAAATACACCCTATATATTACCAAATCAAAGAAACATTGTAAATTTATCGAGCCTTATCACGTTATCACACTAGCGGTTAGCGAACGGATACGTAGCGGAGCGGACGCCTAGCGGATGCGCAACCTTTTGGTACAAACACCGCCGGTAATCGGTGGTAATCGCCGCGTGTCCATTCGCGATGAATTTCATGCGTGTTGATGAGGATTCCTCTTCTGCATCCTCATAATGCGGAAGTTCCGCAATTTTTAAGGTTCCTCATCCGCTACCGCTTCCTTACAAAAGAAAGTTATAATTCCTCTTCCGCTTCCACTACCTCATATTTTCTCTGGCAAAGGAATGCAGTCGCACATGTGCGAGTATAACAAGTATGACATAATAATTTACCTACTCCCTTTCAGCTTTATGCTTCCTCTTCCTCATAACATCTTCCTCATCAACACTATTGCACATCCGCCGGGCGTCCGCTGCGCTGCGATCCACGTAAGCTGGCAAAACTCTTGTGTGATAAGGCTCTAACAACATAGAAAAAATAACTCTCTTTACTAAAGAAAATACGTTTAATCTTTGTGTATTTTTGCCAAGTAATCTAAATAATCCTATAAGGTTCTACTAGACGCTCGTGTAACTAATCTTCTGGTTTCAACCACAAAGTAAGTACCTATCGGCAGGCGTCCAATTCAGAGAGACGGCTACCATAGTCTAATAAAACATTGTCTTATCCTACATTCCTAGAGTGACACTTGCCTACGTCACTAGTATTGCCACTTTATTTCAATAAAATACGTGATGGGGTAAATTCAATCTCAGAAAAATAAGTTAAAATATTTCTCAATAATTTTGCCCAGCAGTGGGACATGGAGCAGGCTACATAAAAAAATATAATTTAGATTTACGTGTGTATTAACTTGAACTTTACAACAACACTTAAATTGTATTTATTAGTTAACAGTATCTTATATGATTTACAAAAAGAATCATAAGAGTGGGTAATTCTGCTAACCCACAAGCATGATGACGTAGGCAAGTGTCAGTCACGTGGTTCACGAGTCTCGGAATGGAATACCAGGCGGAGTATATTATTATACCATGACGACTACAAGGAAACGTCACTACACTCACACACACTTCTACACGCTGTCGTTCACGAGCGAATCCGAACCGTTTCGAACCGGCTTTAAGCGAATGTCAACAGCTTTCGGTGCGGGCGGACGGCAAAAATGACGACTCACAACTGCAAATATTTTTGTTTCCCGCTTGAGCCGCGTATATAAGGTCCTATTAAATTCACTGCAAATATTTTAAGGGCATGCGTAAATATGTATCCCACCCAAAACATAAATGTGAAAGGCTGCCAAGTTCGATAATATTGGAATGCTTCGCCTATAAAAGAAGTGAGATCTAAATAAAGCACCAAGTTCCATATACAGACCTCAGTTAAAAATAGTTACAGGAATGCACACTTGATTTTCCGCAGTTTGGAAAGTAGATTCTGAATAAATATCATATTAAATACCTAAAATTTTAATACTTACAAAAACGCAAACCTGTTTTTTCAGCAGTTTCCTTATGACGTTTTTTATTTTATTTTTTCTGTACTTTGTAATGATATAACTTGGCAAGTTTTCACACACTTTGTTATAAATTAATTAATTAATTAATGAAATTTTGTATTTTAGATAAGTAAGTAGATCTCGAAAGATACTAGAAATTTCATATGCGTAGATAAAATAGATTTTGAGTTATAGGTAGGTCGAACTTGGCCCGAAATGGTTCGTGTAATATAACCCACGGCCGGTGTGTCGGTTCTTTGCTCGAACTTGGCGGACACACTGCCGTGTGTCTAGATAAAAATATGTAAGGCATTTAAAAAAATCTACACGCTAGATTTTTACTTTCATTTTCAAACAAACTTTTTAATTAATTATGTGAACATCTTTTGACTGACCCGACTGGCGTTCCGCCTCGTAGACAGGGTTCACTTACACGGCATGCACACTGACAACCAACCAATCACAGCACCTTTTTTGGCGCGTAATTTAAATTCATCGAAGTGTGTGTTTCTATGTCAAACAGGGTGCACTTTTTTCGTTTTTTTTTTTTAGTTAAATGCAATTTTTTCGAAAACTAGCCTTCTTTAAAAATTTGCCTTGTACATGCTTATATTTTATATGATCTGCCCCTAAAATATTTGCAGTGAATTTAATAGGACCTAATATAAGTAGTAGAAATAAAAAATGTTATAAAAAAGAAAAAAATGTGCTTTGTAAATTTCTCTTTCTTACAATGACTGACTATCAATAAGTGATATATTTATGTCCTAATTTGAATTAATCATTTTTGACTTTGACTTAATTTAAGTGCAATATAATGTAAGTAATGTACCAAAGTATGTTTAACCCAGGCACATCATTTCAAAAAATCAGACTGATAAAGTAGGAAGAATACACTCTACTACACTCAACTTCTCAAAGTTCTCAATAATGAGCATGGTGAACACAGTCGAAGCTAATTTTTTTTTTCCACACTTATTTTTCTTTTTCCAGATGTCAGTTTTGCTTTGATGATATTTCACTCACTTCACTTCACTCAAGTTTTTTTTTTTTTTTTCCTTTCCCGAGCCGAGACACGTCAAAAGTAAATCGTATCACCCCCGCCATCTAACATAATTTTCTGTCACTCTCTTTCTTTGTTTCTTTGGTAGATGACGTTGATTGCATTATGTCTTACTATTTTCTGTTTGTTTTTAGTCAGAGGTATATCATATTTATTTATTTATTTGTATTAAAATATATATTATAGTATATTTTATATCAAGTTTATGTAACAAAGTAAGGTTCTATTTTGTCTAGTATTTATGTAGGTATATATTGTTATTTTTCGTATTTATTATTAATGTATTGTGTTACTTTTTTTAAACCTGATTTCATGTTTTTTTTTATATCAGTGCACCCGCTTTGACTCTCTCAGTTTACCTTTTGGTTGGCCGGTAGAGAATGCTGCGTGGCATTAGGCCCGCCCTTTGTACTTTCTGTGCAATAAAGTTTAATAAATAAATAAATAAAGAATGTAGGTTGTAGGTATAAATAATCTGAAAAACTGGCGAGCTGTCCTTCTGTAAATTCTCTATTTTGTTTTTCAACGTTCCACTATTTTTCCATGCCAAAGAAAAATAGACCTTATATCATAGCATTAACATGATCTCGACAGCTCTCAAATATGACCTATTCGAACGGTCGTACTGTAGTACGTTAATATAACCTTGTTTACAATTTTATGTCTATTTCGATTGAATAAGAAGAAATTACGTAATAATTACAATAATCGTCTCTATGTAGCTTATTACGTAATTCCAAACCTGGGACCTAGGTAATTGCTTTTGTAATAATGATATTTTCGTAGACGGTTCTTTATTTAGCGTGATATAATTTTTTTTGGGGAGTCAATACAGTAGTAGGTATCTTGGCTAGTTGTAGCTATGTTATGTAGGTATACAACGTGTTGCAAAACAACCAATAAATCTCCCATATAAAGTGAATACATTTTGTATGGGAAGTCCAATTTTTTTTTCATATTTCGACCCATGTTCCATGGGAAAAGTTGTTCAGTTTCATGAGTACCTTGACCTCCTTTCAGCTTTATTGGTTGTTTTGTAACACCCAGTATATGTACATAATAGTTGGTAATTCAGAACACCTGGACTGCAAAATAAATAAATAAATGTATTGGAATTTTTAATGCACTCACAGCGCAATATTATTCTCATAAATTCGTTGCTTTGAGACGAGAATCAAGACGTTGAAAGATTCACCAGGGTCCGCTAGGCGCCCGTAGCTCAGTCGGTAGAGCGGTGGAACGTTGATCCACAATCCTGGGTTTCAAGTCCCGGCGGTCGCTAGTGAATATTTCAACTTTCTCATTTTCAATTTATGTAAATAAATAAACACCATATAATCTTAATCCAAAAATACGTAAAACCGGCCTTATCGCTAATATCTAATTCTGCTAGTCAACCTTTGGGAGCTGTAGAAGTCCTAAAGTTCCAAACCCATCCTATGATGTGTAGCGGTGTTGTAGACGTTATCGTAGGCGTTTTCGTAGCACTTGTACTCGTAGCAAAAGGTCATGTTAGGGATTTGAACTTAATTATTGAAGTTTTTTGCATTTGTTAGTCAAATACTCATTTATTTTGACTACCTACCCACGCTGTGTATCTTAACTACGCTGTTTATCTAGGTATACGCCTCAAGAACTTCATCAGCCAGAAATTTTAATTAAAAAATGTGCAAATAAAATTTAAAGTGGCATGACAACGTTGTGGACAGTCAGCGTGGCGCAGAGGTTAGTACGACTGCCTGCGACGCAGAAGGTTCCGAGTTCAATTCCTGGTGGGGTCACTCACAAAGTTGATATTTATCACTTTGTGAATCTGTTCCCAGTCTGGTTATGACATTGCAGGCTGAATCACCTGATTGTCTGAAAAGCAAGATGTGCTTCGGATGGGCACGTTAAGCCGTTGGGCCCGGCAGCTGTCTATGATGGCGTTCGTTACACAACCATGTCAGTGGCCTGTTGCTTTTAGTAGGCGGTTAAAAACTCTGACACCAGGGTTCATCGGGTTGTTGGACGACCCCACTCGAAGAAGAAGAAGCGTAGTGGACAGTTACCCTGGTTGGCTGGGTACTGTGGGTTGGATCCTCAAGCAAGATATTTCAATATTTGTTAATCTAGAGCATCTCGATGTTAGAAAATGTTTATTGAGTACAATATACTTTTTTCACGCCGTGTAAAATAATTGCCAGCTTCTAGGTACTTTTTAGTCATTTGTATTTACCAGTTTACGAACGTAACGTCAGTTTCGACGTTATTTTTGCACTACGCTTCTTATTCTTTTCGAGTCAATGGCAATAAAACCCAGGTTACAGCTTTTGCGCACAAAAAGTGCGCTATGGTAGCGATAGGAAAATGCAAATTGCCACCTTAATCCCACCGTTGGGCATGCCTCTTCGTACTTACGAAATACGAATATTAGAAACGGAAGTTATATGTTTAGTTTCGTATCAAAAAACGGTTTCGTATCTTTTTGAGCGGACGGTGCTGGCAACACTTTTCGGTCCGCCCCGTCTGTCATCTTTACGCTAGCGTTGTTGAAGCGAATCTTAGTTTTAAGTGGTGTAAAATTAAGGTGTTTTGGCGGTTTTCTCGTGTGCTATTTGCCACAAGCCATGGCTTCCCTGTGCGGTGGGGAAGTGAACCAAGTGAATTTTGGTTTCGGCTTTTTGATTGAGGCCAACGTGGTCGCCGGTAACATAACCTCACTTTGAGTCGTCGCTCGCGTCGTGGCTGCAGATAGCTACGTATTTTAATTATAAATGATTGGAGGCCAACGGGGCCGATTTCTCATTCGGAGAGAAATCTTTTAGTTATTTTGTGTTAAAAAACATTATGTGATGTCGAGCTGTGAACTGTAGTGCAAATTGGAGGAAAGGAGTTCTAGAACGAGCGGATGTTCCAGCGCTGTGAGTTTAGGTTATTCCTATTCCTGCGCTCCTAAAGTGTCCTGAATACCTGATTCCTGTCATACTTAAACTCACAAAGAAACGGCATCATCGTTTGCTCGGTAAGCAATTCGTTGCTGGGCCCTGTTTAAGTAGATTTTGGAAACAAGAATTTCTCGGCCGGAAACTTTCCGGAACAAAATTCTCTCATTAAATTTATTTTGTTTAGCTATAGTAAAGAGCACTACGAATCGTAGTCAAATGTTGTTCCGAGGCTGATCGACCATTTAGTTTTAGATTTTAAGATAACTTTAATTTGCTTCCACTGCGCTAAGATCAGCTTCGGAATCAATCATTTTTGGTAGCAGAGCGTGGTTGCTTTATTGCAACATAGTTAGCCGTAATTTAGTATTAAGCGTGTTTTTATATTACCCACATATTTTATTAATTTTGGAAAATATTGTTTCGGTCTTTTCTGTGACTGTATTGTTTGCCTAGTGAACGGTACCTTATCGGTAAGGTCTAGGCCAGTCAACTAACATTTATTTTGTGGTATTTGTTTATTGGTTTTCGTTTTATTAAGTCGAGTGTGTAAAAGTTGGTACCATGGCTCCTCGATCGCCAGGTATAAGGCTGCTATAAAGACAGAATTAAGGTGGTTTACTACCACAGCGGCAATGATCGGCCGCGAGGACCGGGAGGACGCGCTCTTGAAAAGTGCACTACAGGCAGATGAACGGGTTCGGGTTGTGTCGGAACACCTCACAGAGTGCCTCATGCTCCTTGAGGAAGCTCCTAACCCTGAAGATAAGGAGCTGGTTGAGGGCGATGTAAGCCAGTGCTTGGAGCTGGCACAGGACATTGCGCAGGCAGCTGCGGACATATCTAGGCGACGTGACGGAAAGGAAAAGCCATTCCGTGGTAAAGTGGGACAAGGATTACAGGTGCCTCTTCCGCCTGTTACGGTTCCAGTCTTTGCAGGCGATTACGCCGACTGGCCGGCGTTTGAGGACCTGTATAGCAGTGTGGTCCACACACGGACGGACATAACGCCGGCGTACAAGATGGCTCAGCTGATGTCCAGGCTACATGGAGAGCCTCATGAATTGCTGACGCATTTGGCTGTCTCGGATAGCAATTATGAGGTGGCGTGGAAGATCCTTACCGACCGGTATCGAAACAAGCGCCTGATTGTAGACAGGCTGTTAGACCAGTGGCTGTCAATACCAACCATAACGCGAGGTACGGACCTCCGCGAGAAAATCTTCCACCCAGTCAGTGTCGCGGTCAGCGCACTAGAGCGACAGGGTTTGCCAGTGGCGGGCTACGGTTATATCTTGGTCCACACAGTGCTTCGCCGCCTGCCGAGCGAAATGGTCGCTCGATTCGAGCAGCTACATGGGGCAAGTCCTCGGACCACCTCCCGACCTACGAGGATCTGAAGTCGTTCCTCGAGGCCGAAAGCAGGCGAGTGGACGTCCAGGCTGGTGAAGCCCCTCGCAAGGAGACCTCTGCCCTCGCCACCCGGAACGGCCGGGTGCACCGGCGCGAGGAGGCAACAGTGGCAACCCAGGCGGTACAACACCGCATTGGAATCAGGGTGTGCCTACTGCAGGGAGACAGGCCACGGGGTGGCAGCGTGTCAGGAGTTTGCTGCGCAGCGGGTTCAGAGGAGACGGGGTGTGGCACAGCAGAGGCGTTGGTGTTTTCGGTGCCTGGGGCCGCATCAGGTGCGAGTGCCCTTCAAGCACCAACTGTAGGTACTGCCAGGGTGCACACCATCCGCTGCTCTGCATGAATCGCTCCGGAGGCGCCGGGGCAGCGCTGGATCGGATCAGCGAAGGAGCCTGCCCACCAAGGGAGGAGCAACGCTCCCACCCTCCAAGGAGGAGCCCACCTCCGCATCGGTCACAGGGACAGGCAGGGGACGTCAACAGACGGAGCCCACTTACCCAAGGACGTGGGGACAATCCCCACCACGGCAGCAGGTGCCGGATTGGGGAAGAGCGGCACAGGAACGTGGCCAAGGACACCCATCCCAGGTACGGGATTCAACGGGCGGGTGTCAGGGGAGCACTAGGCAGCCACCAGGGTACATGCAGTATTCTGCGGGCTTGAGCCACCTGGTTGGATCTCAAGACCCACGCATGCCCCCGCCTATGCCTGAGTACCCGCGGCTACAGGCGCAACCTCGGTACGGACGTTTGCCGTCGGGGTACTATAGAACTCCAGCCATGGCCTTTATGGGCAGACCTCCCTACCAGCAGGAGTGGGACCCATACACAGGTTTGGGTAGTGAGGATACCCCGCGGGACGCGGCCTCACCGCGTTTAGATTCCCGCTAGGTAATCGCCGCCTACTCATCAGCTTCGGCTCCCCGTCCAATCACGGTACTTTTGCCAACGGCTAAGATTTGGGTATGGGGATACGGTGGCCGGACCATTCAAGTAAGAGCCCTACTGGATACAGGAGCTCAGGGATGTATTGTATCGAGTAAGCTGGTGAGTAGGCTAGGCCTAAATGTACGGCCAAGTGAGGATGAAGCTGTAGGCATCGGGGGCCTAAATGTGCCTGACATTCGGGGTCAGACGAACTTTGAGTTCGCATTAGGTAGCACATGTACAGGGGTCAGCTATCAAGTCTCAGCCGTGGTGCTGGATGAAGTGGTTGGGAAACTCCTTCAGGTTAGGTTACCACCAACGGTACGAGGGTTAACCACAGGGTTGGAGTTAGCTGATCCTGATTTTGATACTCCTGGTACGGTGGACGTACTTCTCGGGTCATACGTCCTCGGAGATTATGGTGCGGTAGGAAGAAGGTACTCCAGGAAACTGGTTTGGTGGCCGTAGATACCACAGGGGTATGTTGTTTTCGGCCCAGTTTGAGACCTCAGGACCTACCAGAAGGGGATCCGGTCCTCTATGGTAGTGTGCTGTCAGAGGTGCTGCAGAGGTTTTGGGAGTCTGAAGAGCCGCCCACGGCGGACAGACGGAAGCCAGAGGATGACGAGTGCGAGTTGTTCTATCAATACAACACTGCGAGATGCCCGTCAGGCAGATTCGTGACCAGGCTACCTTTTCTCCCAAACCGCCCTGCTTTAGGTAGTTCGCGACAGCTCGCGGAACGGAGACTACTCGGAATGGAGCGGAAGATGAGGCGAGACCCAGCACTTCGGCAGAAGTATATAGAATTCATGCGGGAATATATTCAATTGGGCCACATGTCGGTGTCCAGCCTGGATTGGAGGTGTGTCGAGCATTATTACATTCCACACCTGGCTGTCTTGAAGTCACCTGAGGCGAAAATACGGGTGGTGTTTGACGGTTCTGCTCCTACCTCGAATGGTGTGTCTGTGAACCAATGTTTGCACGCGGGTCCTAAATTGAACCGGGACATTGT